ATAAGAAAGGCATGCGGAACCACGCCCATGATTGTAGAAGCAGAAGACATCCACCGATAGCAGTTTTCTTATAATTCGTCGCCCGACACATTTCTCTAAAGAGAAATGCCAAAACTGCAGCACCCCAACTATATCTTCCAGCTTCATCAAAATCGATCAGATGCCGCAACCACATACAATGCACCTGGTTGCGAGATTTGTCGGGCATCAATATTCCTCCAATTATTCGTAGAATATATGCCCGAGCACATGCCTTTGCTTGATCCTCTGAAGCATTTTCATTTAAAACCTCAAAATTAGCTTTCAACCAAGATAAAGCTATTCTACCTCCATTAAACTCTGGCGGAGCAGCTCCAAGATAATCAATGCACATTGATTGCCAATCACCATCCGCCATACCACACATCATATTTCCGTCGACGGGAAGCCCCAGATGCATAGAGACATCCTCCAATGTAATTGTTGCCTCTCCACATGGAAGGTGAAAAGTGTGTGTCTCGGGCCTCCACCTCTCAATCAGTGCAGAAATTAGGACAGGTTCGAGTTTGCAACCGCCTATAATTGTTGCAATATACCCGAACCCAGTAGAAGCCAAATATGGCAAAATACGTTCCGGTGTCGGTATACGTGGATTTTTAATAAAAGTTTCTAAAATACGATCAGCATCCTAAATAATATATATTATAAAAAATAAAAATTAATATAAATTCATAATAACTTTAAAATAAAAATAAATTTAAATATTAACATTAATTATAAAAAATATTACCATATCGCTAAAATGTCTGGAGATATGATCAATATCCAATCGCAACAGCATTTCGTTTTCCATTATAACTGTAGACAAAACAATATAATTAGCAAAAAAAATTAATAATTCTAAATAAATAATAATTATATAAATATTATTTTAATAAAAAAAATAATATTTACATAAATATATTAATATAAAAAATAATAACTATTTAAAAAAATACTAACATAAAAATAAATTTCTTACCACTAATAACAAATTTAAAACTCAAATAGTTGGAGAATTTGAGTTATATAAGAGAGGAGAAGATGATTTTGGTGTGAAGAATGAGGGAGGGTTGAGGGAGTTTACATAGGGGAGGAGGAGGGGTAGTTAGGAAAAACGGATGGGGGCATTTATGACATTTAATGGAAGGCGCGTCCCCGGGGATGCGCTTTCCACACGTGTCTGCTGATATGGCAAAGGCGCGTCCCCGGGGACGCGCCTTTCACACGTGGCATCCAACTCAGCGAAAACACGGGTAAAGCGCGTCCCCGGGGACGCGCCTTTGCCAACTCAGCAGAAAGGGTGCTACTTTTGGAAATATTGGTCAAACGGTGTCAGAAAGGTAAAATTAAAAGCAAACGGTGTCAGTTATGTAATTTAGCCCTTAATCAGTTTATACGTGGCCACATATGGTCTGAAACTACAAACGGGAAAGGTTTAGTTAAAAAATATTAGTCCCGTCTTGTTAACTAAGCTGGAGTTTATAATGATAATGTTCAAGCTATGTAATCTGCATAGCCCTCGTAGAATCGACCTCTGAAGAGTTTTCTGAAGGCAAATCTCGTTAACCAATGGGGCCTGATCTGAGTTTTGAACATGTTTTTATGCATATTTTGGGCTTTGTCTTGTAACTCTAGAATCTGGGAGCCGACACAAAATACACGAGTGTGTTTGATAAATAACTTTTTTTGAAAAGTTTTTAAGTCTATTTGAACCTAAGTTACTGATTGGTAGTCAAATCCTCTATTTTTAGTATTTGGTAAATACTTTTTTGAAAAAACTGATTGTGCAAAATAAGCTGTAAATGGGTCCATTTGTTTAACGTAAAACAAGAGCAGCTACTTTGTCCACGCTGCGACTCCACCAACACTAAGTTTTGTTACAACAACAACTATAACTTTTCTCTACCTCGCTATTTCTGCAAGTCCTGTCAACGTTACTGGACTCATGGCAGCACCCTGAGGGACATCCCTGTTGGCGGTGGCACCAGGAGAAAATAGAAATGCTAAACGTTCACGCAGCAGCAGCAGCAGCACGACCACCAAAGGCACAGCTTTTTCAGCAACCAATGTCGCCGCCGCCTCTGATCACAATAGCTTCCCGTTACCTGTCACGCCGGTTTTGTTCCCAATCTCAGAAAATCAGTGAAGTTCTGGTATGGTTGGAGGGTACAAAGGCAATATCTTCCGAAGTTTTACCTCATTGTTGAATACGCAGGGGCCTGGTTTTCTAGCTCTTGGTGGGTTTTGGCTTGGTATTGCTCCAACACTCGATGATGTTGGATTTGGTCTTGGAAGTGGAATGTGGCCGTTTCCAGGCATAGGAGGTGGAGCTGTTGCTGCCGGTGGGCGTGCCAATGGTGGAGCCGCCAGGCGAATGGAGAATAAATGGCTGAAAGCAATTTTTCAAAGGAAATTCATAAAACAAATTAAATATTTCATTCATAGTAAGATTTAAATTCATACCATAAAGTCCAACACTCTTTTAAAAGTCTAGATATAAAATCTTATAACCGAAACTAAATATAAATCTTATGAATACTAAACTTGTTGAGGGATCAATGACAGATTATTTAAGTTGCATTTTTAAAGCTTCTTCCTTCATGTTCTCTTTCGGTTCATCCCTACTTTGAGTAAAATTCTAGTCCGTATATGGGTCCTGTTGTGACTGATCATCATCACAGACTAACTATTAGTAATCATCCTGGTAAGCCATTGATGGATCCCTCTCTCCGGCTGTTGTTCCTGGAAAGGGCAGGTTCTTTAGTGCAGGCTAGACTGTTGGCCTTGTCCATGTTCAAGCTGAACATGTATAGACTTTAGTGATAACTATTTTTCCAGGGCATAAAATGGTGTCTGAACTGTCCTTAAGTTTTTTGGGAGCTAGGAATGGAATCAAACCAACTTGATTTTGAAAAGATTAGGGTTTGAGAAAACCAATAATTTGGAGTGACCATCGACATTTGAGTTAGATAGGTTGAATACATAAAAATGTCTTTTAAAATAGTTTTAAAAAATCAAGTTAAAACACAAAAACCAGCATGCGTTTAACCAGAAATTCATTTTGAAAAGGATTCGGGAGTCGATTACGCGTGGGGAAGGATGAGCACCCCCAAAGCGCCCGAAATCGGTACCTATTCGATTATTCGTCAACTCTATATTTGAAAATTATAAATTCGAGTGATATTTAAATTATGATCTATTTAAAAGGAATTATTTTCTACGAACAATATTCGGAAACACACTTCCCTTATATCTGGGAGACTTTTCCACAGATTACCCATATAAAAGAATGTCTTTTTGTATGAACAATCCTCGGAAACACACTTCCCTTATATCTGAGAGACTTTTCCGTAAATTCCCCATACTAAAAGGCGTCACCTCCGTTTATTGGATGTACTAAATAATTATATGCACTAGAAGTGAAACAAAGCTCACCAAATGCCAAAATAAAATATCAAGCTCAAATTAGCAAACAGAAAATTAAACGCTGAAATTTAAAAAGGGCAGAAATGTGAATACTATAAATTTAAGGGCATGAATTAAAGTGCATAAAATTAAATGACATAGATATAAACAACAGAAAAATAAAGTACTTAAATGTAAATAAAAAAATGAAAGAACGGAAATCAATGAAATAAATAAATAAAAAGACAGAAATGTAAATAACAGAAAAATAAAGGGCATAAATGTAAATAATGAAAATATAAATACAATAAAAAAAGGTTAACAATTATTTTAGAATTTTATTCGAATCATAAATAATGTAGATCTTAGCCCGGAGCAATTAGTGAATTTTAACAGTTATTCGTAGAATGATTAGAATGCGAAAACAAAAAAAAAAGTAAGTTAGCAATTAGTAAGTTAGAAGTTAGTAGGTTAGTAAATAATTAGCAATTAGTATGTTAGAAGTTAGTGAATTAGCAAATAAATTAATGAAATACGGTCTGAAATGTAACAAAAAAAACAGCAACTAATTCGAATAAATAAAAATAGCGGAAATAAGTGACTAAACCAAAATAAATACAAAAGCATGAATCAAAATTGCAATAAAATTTAAAACAAAGGTCCAGTAACCAAAATGTGAAAACGTGAAAATGTCAGGGGATAAAACCTAGTTTTACCCTAAAACTCAATTATAAAAGCCAACTTTTTTTTGTTTTAAACTCCTTTTAACCCCCAAACTCAAAAAAAGCCTCCTTTTCTCTCTACTCTCTCCCTCGGCCTGAAACCAAAAACCAGTGAACCACTCGCCGGCCACCGAGCAACCCCCCTACGTCGGTGTCGCTCTGCCACTCCGGTCACCGTATACAGTGATACGGTGACCTAAATCGACCCCCAAACTCACCGCAACCCTCGGTTGACTCCCTAGAACTCAAATCTGGGGTCAAAAACCTTCAGTTAGGGATTGTTGACGACCTTCAGTGCACCATCGTAATCATCCTTTTTCTCAACTTCACTGTGCCTCACCACCAGCTGTTGTTTAACCACAACCATCTTTTATTTCAACAACTTGTTCGTTAGCAAATAATAAAAATTGTTAGTTAGGGATTGACTTCAAATTTTACATTGCTTTCTCCCTTATATATATTATAAACATATATATTAGAAACATTTAATATAAGAGGATGACTCATTCTTGAATATCTAATCTTTGTGAACATGATTAATATATTTCCGCTATTCAACTTAATAATATTTATATAAGCGGGGTAGTTTTCTGCAATTTTCATATGATTTCTTGAGCTAGACTTTAGAACTTGCATGCCCGACTTGGAATTAAATATAAAGGAGAGAGTTTCCAGGCAGATACACTATCAGAACAGGTTAAACAAACATGAAATCATCGGTTCTTCTGGAAGAACATGCATGGCAGGTTCCAAGAAGCAAACTGCAAAAGAGTTCAATAGATTTTCATTTTGCCTACCCTATATATGTAATACCTGTTACGCTCTCCTATTTTTCGTAAAAGAAAAATAAACTCCACCGTGATCATATTCACTGAAATATGGATCAAATTATCAACGCCGTTCCAGGTGTTGCTCTATCAACCGTAGTTGGCCAGTTAGTGGTAGCCATAACAAATGCAAGAAAGACGGCCAAAAGATTTAAACCCCTTCTCAATCATCTCAGAGATACAGTTAATTTTATTACACCAAGGGTCGAGGAGATAAACCGGTCCGCTAATTCTCATGAAATCCAGAAGCTGTTGAATCTTTTGAATCAAGCAAAGGAAACCGTTGATAAATCCTCTAGAGTAAGCTCCTGGAATATTAGCAAGAAGTACAAGTTCGCCCAAGAGCTCATTGAACTGGATTCTTCGATTCGAACAACGTTGGATGTATTCTTTCCGGTTATGATATATGGAGACACTAGAAAAATCCTGGATTCCGTTGATCAACTGAAGATGATGTTTTCGATTTTCTTTTATGTTATGCTTGAACATCTTCATTCAGGTGCTAAAAGCACCGGTGGTGCTATCTTTGATCTGATTCGAGATAAAATTGTACATTCTCAGCCTGCAGGTATCAGGTTCCTGATATTATACACTCTTTGTGGGGTATATTTTTGTGCTTTTTACAACCTTTTTTTTGTTGTTGTTGCAGAAGTTGTAAACGACATAGCTTTATGGAAGAGAAAGGAGATAAGCGGATCGCTTCTTGTAAGCTCAACTGCAACATGGCTATTGCAGCACGTTTGTGAATACAATTTTCTCACTATTGCTTCGTGGGGAGCCATTTTCGTTGTCACTTCATTGTTCATTTGGAGATATGTGAACAGATTTCTTGACCGGTAAGTAATTTCATTCCTAAAGTAATCCCAAAGTTGTTACTATCGCATAAGTTGCTGTATTCGAGTTTATCTGGATCAGGGAAGAAGCAAGCAAATCAAGATTGGAAAAGCTCCGAGAGCAAGTCGCCATGGAGACCGCAAACGCTTGTTGGGAAGTGACTGATAAAGTAATAAGATGGGTATTTGATGCGACTGATGTTGAGGCAAATTGGACTGTATTTCCTCAAAGCGTTGCCTTACTTCTACTTTTCTCCTATGTGGGAAGCTTCTTTGATCTCCCAACACTTTGTGGAGGTAATAATATATATATATATATATATATATATATATATGCGTCGACAACTCCAATTTGGTCTCGATTAATTGAAATGTTAATCACTGTAGTGCTGTTGGTTGTTGTGGTGTTTATGCAGTTGTTATGACGGGTACGACAGTTCCTGTGATAGTGGCAAAGCATGGGGATCGAATTATGCCATTTGGGAGTACGGTTGGAAAAGTGTGCGAGATGCTTGTGGAGAATCTAACCAATACAATGAAGAACGTTGGTAAAGAGGAAATTAGGAAGAAGAAAATGAAAAAACAATACTAATATATATATAGGTTATGATCCACTTCTATTAAGTAAAATGGGAATTAAAAGTAAGACCATGAGATAATATAGAACGCAATATGAGGGAGAACAATCTTTATATTGCTTGTATTGTCTAAGAATGAACATGGCCTCTGATTATAGGGCTTTAAACATCATAAGATATATAAATTTAAACTTCAAAAGTCACCCTACATTGAATAGAGTTCTTCCATATGACCATATGGGAGTTGCAGCATGCGGTGTACTCTTTTTCCTTCGAGGATCAATTTATAACAATATCATAAATTTATTATAAAATGTCTTGTTATAATTTAATTAAAAAATATACCATATTTTCTTTATAATATATAGTTTATTGTCTCAAAAAAATTTAGCATGAAAATTCAATGAGACAATTAAAAAAAAAGAGAGTACAACTTACATTTTACTCTACCTCATATTCAACATCACTTAACATCCTTGAAGTGATACATCGTGATATTATATATCAACTTTTCAAATGTTACATTATCCAAAATAATTTCTATTTTTTGTGGAAGTAAATCGTATGTCTTTTTGGATATATAAGGTCAATAGACTTAAACACATGTTTCATGTATTGCAATTATTTATGCACAATTAAAAGTAGTGGATAATGTTTACTTCGTCGAATGTATCCTCACTTGTAAATACATATTCTATTCAGAATTGATCACGATATTAATCTAGTAAATATATTGCATGTCTATAGTAAACTAATATAGACTTTAAACCATTAGAGTAAAATGATATCATATCAATGGTTCCTTTGAGATATTTAAATATATGTGTTGGTTAAGGGTTACATCTTATTAAAAAATTTACATCAAATGTTATATCAGGTCGTGTATAATTTATAAGATACATTAATTCACTTATGGTGCTAAATATGGTACTTCACGAATAAATAACTCTGCATCTTTTTCATAACTACATAATGATCAATATTCACATCTAAAGATCTTACAACCATTAAGGTACTCAACGGATATTATCAATGTGATTTTTTTAAGATGTTTTCTCATATGATAACTGATGAACATGAATTTATCCTTTAGATGCTCAATCTAAGATTGATTCTTTAAATACTTTATTGTCACAAGTATCGCCTTAGGAGTGCTAATGATACTTAAAACCTCAGTATACACATCAATATGATAAATTTATGCATGATTGGACTCAAACTTGAGATAGCAAACATATCAAGGCCTCAATCTTACATTTATAGAATAACATCTTTAGTCCTAATAACATGTTTGATCATGACTAAAATTTCAAATCGGGAAAAGTTTAAGGATTAAAAATTTCCAAATTAAAATATAAAGACTAAATCCATAAATTCTATATAATACAGGAAGTAATAAAAAACTTTAATAATCTAATTACCATTTTAGTTCTTAGGGCTTTTTGGCCCATAAATGCAACAACGACAACCAAAAAATGGACAAGATGTTACTTGGAAATATGGCCTCTTTCGTGCGATATTGTATTAATATGGCCCATAATGTCATAAATATGTTTGGTATTTGATTATTTGGTAACGTGTACTTTTTTTGGGGTAAACGGTTACTAAACTTTGAAAACAAATATTTTGATAGATAAATAAAGATTATTACAATACTAACAATATCTTCAATAATGTAATAGATAAATAAAGATTATACCTATTGCCATCTTAAAAATAATGGGTTAATGAAAAATAAGTGTTTAAATTATAGTCTTGATTAATTTTAGACGTGTATCAGATAACGGGATTTTTTTTATTAATATAGAGTAATTACACGTGATAGTATCTATTCTAGAGGGGAAATATTAGATGGATCTGGTTCGCCACGTCATTTGTAGACCTAACCAATAAAATCCATCCATCTCATTTTTTAAGGTGAATCTTCATCTCTTCCTACATGTAAATAAGTAATGAGTAGTTATTTTGAAGTTATTTTGAGATGAATGAATCTTATTGGTTGGTACCATGGATGACGTGGTGTCCTGGGTCCATCAAATAATTTCTCGTTCTAGAGACTCTCAACCATTTGACAATGAACACTCAAATACCCCGCAACCGCTTGTAGTCGAACCTGAAACCTTTAAGAATAACAATTATCCCTTCAATCACTAGATAACTTGATTCGTGCAAATAACAATTTTTTTAATGATCATTACAATGTATACAATTAAAATAGTAGCGGAGAAAATACTAGAATGTAATACCTCAAAATTTGACTAGTGACTAAAATGTAAAATTTGAAAGTTTGGTGACCAAAGTATAAACTTGGAAAAGTTTAGGGATTAAAAATGTAATTTTAAAATTATATATATATTGGTACCGTAAATGAATAGTTCTCTCCAAGAATGATATTTTCGTGTAAGATTTTTGATTTGGGATTTGTATAAAAGCTTATTAAGCGATAAAATTTTGTAAAATATTCGGATAATTGGATCCAATCAGTATTCGGTAGCTTATAAAATTTGAAGGAAGGTAGATTGCAGTTAGAAACAATATTCTTATATTTTTAATCAGTAGAATTTGATGTGGATTAGTGGATTTAATTTGATTTTCCATGTTAAAGCATAATAGTGAATTTTAGTGACTAAATTGAAATTTTAGAAAATTGAAAGGGAAAAGATGGAAATTGATAAATAAAATTTATGCATTTATTTAATGTTATTAAAATGGAGATAAAAGGATGACATGGGAGTAATTATCAAGACTCATTAAGGGAAGATTGAACTTTTGGGACTAGAATGAAATTTAAATTAATTCTAATTAGAATTAATAAAAGTGTACATAGATATTTTGGAGGATTTATCTAGAAAATTTTCTTTTTCTCCCTATATATTGCCGTGAGCTATGGTGGAAGAGTACAACTCTTTTGCAGGTTGACTTTAATAAAGCTGCTCATAAGAAAACTACTTTAAATCGTTGGTTAAGGATAATGTTGAATTAATTGCGGTTTTTAATAAAGCTTGTAATTCGCATGATACCATATTTCATGTGGTGATCGCAATGTGAGCTTAAAAAAATGTTGGGACTATTTAGTCTTATAGTTTTGAATCCAAACCTAGTTCCAGTTAATTCAAAATGATCCATCAAATGTGTTTGGCCTTGACCTATAATTGTATGACAAAACTTAGGGGCATGCCAAGGATTCCTTTTTGACAAAGCCACTTTGATGGCTTTGTTTCACTTTTTTTTATCTAATACTAATATTTTCCTTCCCTTCTTTAGGATAGGTCTTCTATAAATTTAATATATCTTTAGGCATTTGTGTGCCCAAGAAATTAGAATCTCCTTGATTAACTAAAACAATTGGTTCTCTGCCCCCAATCCAACGATAAAACGTGGTAAGGAACCGTTGATGAAATGTTAGATTCTTATCTTCATACCACTCCACTAAAACATAAAGTTTTCTTTTTAGTTTTTCCGATTTAGTATCTGATCAATGATTTTGGGTTGTGACCAATTTTTGGAGTCTTGTTAAAGCAATTAGGATTTTAAGAATGTTGTCTGAACTGGGTGTGAGAGCAATGATAGGAACAAGTGAATGGCCATTTGTCGATGAATGGAAAGAGATATGGGCAGGGATAGACGCGAGATTTTATGTCGGAGGGACGAATTTGAACTTATAAAATTTCAGTGAAGGTAAACTTGAACTTATAAAAATTTAAGGGGCGAAAACATATTTTCAATAGAAAATATATATAAAAATTTAAAATATAAGATAATTTTAAATTCTTAGGGGTCTATCCATGGATATGGGGTTATTGCTCAACGGAGTAAGCTAGAGGTTGATGGTCTCAAACTTGTATAGAAATGGTTCTACTACACCTCCTACCGTGGAGGGTTCAGTTGACAAGTTGTCTTGTATGAGCTAAAAATGAAAATGGTTTTGCATATGAGGAAGAGTTAAAGGTCTGATTATCATTCATACCATTACTCAAATGGGAATCTCAACCCCAGGTTGAGAGCAACTTTCGTGGGAGACCTCCAAATTATGAAATGTCCTCCGTGTTAAGAACCTTGTGTTCTACCAACTGAGCTAGATGATCATTTCATAAAAGATGATCGGAAGTAGTTGTTTAATGATAGGAAATAATATAATCAGGGACGGACGCATGATTTTATGTTAAGGGTCGAACTTAAATTTATAAAAACCTATAGAATGACAGAAACATATTTTTAATAAAAAATATATAGAAAAAAATCTAAATTTATAATAATTTTAAATTTTTAAGGGACGATATACCCGCCACTTTCAGTCCATTCCCGTATAAAATCAAGTAGATGCAGAGAATAAGCATAGCTCAGCTGGGTGGTGATGGATTGATTGCTTTGACTAGTTTAGGCAAAAAAAATTCAGTTTTAATGTTTAATCATGAATGTCGTTTGTTATAATTTTTTGTTTTTTCATTTTATTTTGTTTCATCTCTACCTTTTGTTTCTGAACAAATGCTATTTGTTTCTTTAACATGTGTTTTTTAATCATCTAATTTTTAAGATCTTAACAATTAAATTATTAGTCAATATTTTTTTTAATAATATGGAGTAAGTACAAGGCAATATATATTCGAAGATAACTCTCAACCTTTTAACATTGAACGTTCACACTCTTGATATTTATGGTGCTCAAATCCGAATCCTCAATAATAACAACAATCCATTTATCACGAATGTCACTTGGTTCGTACATAATTTACTAATAATTGAATAATATAGAATTTTTCCAACTATTTAATATTATTTTTTGGTACAAAACTATTTAATATTATGACATCATTAAAAGCATCACATTAGTTTGATACTATGAAAACATATAATGTTTAACTTCTCGTGTGGTAAAAGATAAGTAGTCTAAATTAAATTTATAATTTAAAATTGTAGTCGCTTTCTTTCACTTCCTTTTTCTTTTATTCTTAAATAATTTGCGTCAATTTTATTGATAATCTAACTTTTTTTTTAATTTTATTTAATCGGTGACGACACCGGTTTAAATACTGATTGCCGTCTGTCAATTTTTTTTTTAGTTTTTTTAATAATAATAACTATGCCTTTGTGACATGTTCTATGTCTTTATGACACATTTATCTCTGCCTTTGTGTCATGTTTTCTTTGTCTTTTGGTAGCTTACAATTTTTTGTCGTTGTTTTTGTTTATCTTTTTTCTAAGGGTTGGATTTGACATCGCCACGATTGATCAAGATGGTCTTATTTGTTATCATGATGATCTTCTCTACTTTGGACCCTCAGATTGATTTGGATATGTGTTTTGCGTTCGTTAATAGTTTTCTCACGTTGCTTGACTCTAATTTACGATTTTTCGATGGTATTTCAGTAGCTTCATCCACTTTTGTGGTTCGTTTACCGATGCAATCAGATTTGTTAATATCTTTATTTTATTTGAGTCTTTTGGTTAGGTTTTTAACCTTTTTCTTCTTTGGTCCTTATGTGATCTAGGTGTGACAAGCGTCGTTTTCCTCGTCAAAAAAAATAATAATATCATCTTCAAATAAAATAAAATGTAGTATAGAAAGAGGGTCGATCCACAAGAAAAAAAACAGAATTTCTGCATAAATAAATTTTGAGTTCAGATTCAGAAGCAGTAATTAAACAAAAAATAAAAAAAAAGGTAGGTGTAATTTAGATGATAAGAAAGAAAGTAGATTAAAAAAATAAATCCAAAATAAAATTAAGAAAAGCAGTAAATCAGAAGAGAAATGAAATAAAGTTTAGAAATCACAAATAAATGAAAATCGCCTCGAGCTAGCTTGATTCAATTCCTGCGATCATTGAAAAGGATTTTGTTCAGGGATTCATGTCGGTTACAGTCTACAAGGCCCAACCCATTGTAACTTGCCCTTCTCTCATGTAACTGGTCTTTCCAAGTCTATCTTTGAAAGATGATTCTTGAATGGATTAACCACATTTATTGCCGTTAAAATAATCATATTTAAACTGGAAAAGCCCAACTCGGATATATTGTCTCGTCGAAAATTGAATCTGATCTTGTCTTTCCTTAGCAGACTGCCACTAAGAGTGTTTACAAGAAGTCAAATTGCCACAAGCCTATCCTTCCTCCCAACAGTATATTAAACGATATCCAAACCAACAAGCTCTTTTTGATTTGAAAAACGTTTAAAATTGTAGTAAGGTCGATTGCCAAACTATCTAATCAGAAAGACGAAAATGTTTCCCGAAGGGATTTAAGCGATGTTCAATTCTCATGCATGGATTGATTTTGTACTAGCTCTTGACTTTAAAGAAATTAGCTAAGCATGATATAATTGATCATGCTTAGTATAGTTTGCAAAATAAAAATAGTTTAAAGAAAAAGAAAGTAAGAAAAAAATTGATTGAAAAATGTAAAAATAAACAAAGTAAAATGATATATGATCTCTATGATGATTTAGCCATACCATAAGGAGGGTGTTTATAGGCTTCTAAATCCATAAAAATAACAAGAAATTCAAAATGAAAATAATCCTAAATCTTAAAAGATAAATCCAAGTGTTTTTGAATTCAAACTTAAATTTAGATTCCTAAAGATTTAGTCCATTCTCTTCGGATAATGCTGACTAGACTGTTTCTAGAAATCCCTGCTACTGGTTGGATCTTCTGGAAGATGCCACGTTAGACAACGTCGTATCCATACCTCTAGTCATGACCAGTAAAATAAAAAAGGTGCAAAATACATCCTTTTGCTGCCAATTCTAGTAAGCTAATCACCGCATATAAAATAAACAAAAACAACCCAATTAAGCTGTGAAAAAACATGGCAATTATCAAATAAAAAACACCAATCACAAGCACTTATCAAATCCCCCTCACATGTCTCATACTTGCCCTTAAGTATGCTCGGATTAAACTAATCAAAAACTTAATTTTACTTCGCCCAAATCGTTGCATGTGTAAGCAAAATCATGAAAGTTAAGCTCACAAGAATGACATGAATTAATCACCAATTAAGCCGAATAGGTACAAGTAAGAACGAATCAATCAACCTTGCAATCGTTTATCATCTATCAACCAAAATCTCAGCCTAACTTAATTCCTCACCAAGATTCACTCAAATCATTCAATATGTTTCGGGTGTAGAAAACAAGTTCGCTTAAAGTAAAAAATAAACAAGGATCTCCATAGGCTTGAGACATGATCAATTCTCCACTACTTATAAGGAATGAGATGCAAGATTATTAGGACTTTAGAAAGAGTGTAATGGGACTTAAGTAAAGGATAGGAAAAAAGCTAGAGTAAAGGGTAAAAATCAAGACAAATAATTTATAAATTAGGCACCTAAAGTTCATAAACAAATGAAACAACAAGAATATGTACAAGCCACAAGTTCTAGATTTTCATCATTCAATTTAACACTCTCAAGCAAGAAAAATAGCATAAAAATAAGAACATGCATGCTTAAGGCTCAAAATCTCACAAAGTGATATAAACAACCAAGTTAGGCAATGAATTCAATTAATAAAATCAAGACATATTGAAATTTAAATTAAAAAACTAAAATTATGATTATTTTTAAAAAAAAACCTCAAAATATTTCTAAAATTCTTAACCCAAAACATCCACCCCACCCATTGGTCATCCATTGCTGCTGTCGCTCCCACTGACCGTCTATCCACCCGTTGTAGATCGTTAATCGTAACTTCAAACCCTCAAAAAAACCTAAACCTAAATCCCAGTACATACACATCCCAACCGATATGTGGATAGTCGAAGGGTGGTCCACGAGTGAGTGATCGACAAGTGATTGGATGGTCTCCAACGATAGTAGTGATCGGTAGGTAAATTGAAGGTCTTAAGAATATTTTATGAAAAACAAGAAAAGTTTGATCTTTTCAAAAAAAAATATGAATTTTATTTTTCTTAAAAAGTAAAATAAATAAAATATCAAATCACGTGTCAAATATTAATTAATTTGACCTATTTTCTAATAATCATTACATCATAGATACTTACATAATAACATTGAAACCGTTACATAATTAAATTTATTAAAAAAATTTAAATATTTAAACGAGAAAATATGTATAATTTAAATATTTATTTTTATATTAAACCTTTAAAAGTTAGGAGTAAACGTGTTTAATAATATATATATATATATATTGGTTTTCATCATCCTCTAGAGATTCCTTTGATTAAAAAGGAGAGGTGTCAAAACCATCAATTTAAAATTCGATATCTCCACGAGAAGGAAATAAAGGTGATAAAAGATAAGGAAGGATTCGTTGAATTGTTGGTGTTGGTGTTGGGTTTTGGTTGAATTGTGTGCTTACAAACGAAGAAGAAGATGTCTTTTCATTCACGATGACAAACCATTTACGGCCATCAATTATTGCATTTGTTAATTATCAATTCTTTTGAAGGACACCTTTTTTTTTTGTATTTTATGGGGTGCTTATCTTTTCGACTGCGACGGTACGATAATATAACTTGGCCTTTTCTTTTTTAAATTTAATGTTAAAAAATATTATCTTATTAATTTATTAAAATTATTAATTTTGACTAAATTTTATCTAAAATTAAATATTTATCTTCTCAAAAATATAGTTTAACAATAATATTAAATAATTAAATTTTAAACTAAATAATATAAAAATACTATTCAAAATTGTTTTTCAAAAAAAAAATTAATACCTACTTTTTTATTAAAGAAAAACAATATTAATCAACATAGATTGGTTCAAGTGGTAAGCAGCTTAATAACGCTTAAGTTTGATTCTTTATGTATGCGAAAAACCCTTACTAGAAGTCTCATCCACCAAAGTCAAATGTGCGTCAAGGATCGGTCAGAATTAGTTAAGGCACTTATTTTTAGTGAAAAAATCTTTAAGTACCAAAAGTTAATTTTGAGTATAATTTAAACACTTAATTTTATATTAAACCTATTAAATATAAATACTTTTGTTCAATTTTTTATAGGAAGTGTACCCTATAAACGATCAACTTTTTAAGGTAAATTTTTACACCGTTTAGATAATATTTTTTTTGTTAAATTATGTGTTTAAGTTATCAGTTTTGATATATTTTAATTACTTAAAATTTTAATTTATTTAAAATTATACTTAAAATTTAGTTTTATTTTATTTTAGTACTTCGTCATTAAAAACATTAATTTTTGTTTCATTTCAATATTCCATTCAAAGTTTAACATTAAGTTTTGAAAAAAATTAAAAATTTAGGTAATAAAACAGATCAAACTGATAATTTAGATACTAAATATGTTAAATTTTTAATGAGGAGTATTAAAATAAAATAAAATATAAAAAATTAAACATTATTTTAAAAAAAATATTAAATACTAAAACGGACTAAATACGTAACTTACCCTAATTTGTTTTTCCACAAAACCACACCCCAAGAAAAACTATTCATTTTAATCAGAAAAGTTTTCTTTTTCAACAATTTGCCGCGCCTGGGTGTACGAGACCTAAAAATCTTTACAAATATCCCTGAGTTAGACTGCCGAGTCAGTCACGAGTCTTCAGCCTTATAAGTTTAAAATACGCGAGGATCCGTTTGCGAAACATGCAGCGAATCTTTGAATCTCTTTTACACATCCATATAAAACGTACGACTGGTCTGCTGTGTTAGAAAAAAGAGAGAAAAACTAATGGACTTGAGCTTGGATTTAAGTTTTGTTTATGTACCATCGAGCATATCTGAGTTTCTGAAAGAAGTTTCGAAGATAAAAAATGGGTTCCAAAGATTATTGAAGATTAGTGATTTTGTTAAAAGATTGGAAGATGAGATGAAGAAAATAGATGCCTTTAAACGCGAACTTCCCCTTTGTATGCTTCTCTTGAAAGATGGTATTTTTTTTAATCTTCTTGTTTAATTTTGATTTTCCCTTTTTTTTCCTGGGATTTAGTTTGATTATTTTTATGGGATGTTAGGGATTGAAAGATTGAAGGAGGAAGAAATGCAGTGCAAGGAAATGGATGATGGATCAGTGACGAAAGGGTTGATGTTGCCATTGAAGGGAAATACTGAGGAAAATGGAAGCGTAAATGTGGAGAAAAAGAAAAGCTGGATGAGTTCTGTTCAGCTCTGGAACTCTGATTCCGACAACGTTGATCACAGCAAGAAATCAAACGAAGTTCCAGAACTGAAACTGGTAATTCCCAAACCAGCTCTGGTTTTCATCTTATTTTATGGAAATTTATTACTAACCTTTTTAAGTGGCATGGATTTGACAGAGAAGTGAAGAAGAAGAAGAGAACCCAATTGAACTTTGTAATGACGAAATAGTCGAGGGACAGGAAAATTTTGGGCTTTCTCTCATGTTCCCAAGTTCTGAATTGGGTTCTCGTAAGCCAATTTCTAAGGACAACGGCAGCCGTGGAATTGGTCTTTGCCCGTCCATGTATTCAGACCAAAACCAACTTGAGATTCAGACCGAACATCAACAGCAGCATGAATTGCTGCAGCGTATGCATAATTCTAAGAAACAAAGGCGGTGCTGGTCACCTGAGCTTCATAGACGATTTGTCGAAGCTCTTCAACAGCTTGGAGGTTCAAAAGGTCAGGCCTTTGCAAATAGAGTTATCAGATTTGATTGATTCATTTTAAAAGAACCTTTTCTTGGCTGCTTCATTATGTTCTCGATTTCATAGAATTACGTCTGTTTTTAGGACCAAAAGACTGGAATCTGATTCTTTCTTGGTGTCTTAATGTTCCACAGTGGCAACTCCTAAACAGATTAGAGAATTGATGCAAGTTGATGGTCTCACCAATGATGAAGTGAAAAGCCATCTGCAGGTTGATTTTCAATTCCTTTTTGACCTCCTTTATGTTTACTGAATTTGGGTGTTGAATGTGCAGAAATACAGACTCCACTCCCGAAAGCTTCCGGCTTCTTCAGCTGGGCAAGGAAACATGGGAGAGTCGGCTCAAAATCAGTGCAATAAGAAAACCATGAAAGCAAACGTTTCACAGTCGGCTTCCCCACAGGGTCCCCTCTTTGCCGGTGAGCGTGCAAAAGGCCTGTCGAGTACCACCGGAGGCAATAGCATGGTCACGGAAGAAGATGAAAAATCGGATGGCCGAATTTGATCTGTAGTCTGATAACTTGTTCCCATGAATTTTGCAATGACATGGGGAAACGGATCATAATTACAGTGACTTGGGGAGATTTTAAAGAGAGCTTTGAAGACACCAATTGGACTGTTGGTTTCTCCATTAATCAAGATGCTTGTCTGAATGTTGGATTTGTATGAACCAAAATAACAATCTTTTGCAGAGTTGTTTCATTTATGTTAAGACTTAATGACAACTAATGTACTTGATATTTGGACATTCTTAACAGCAACCCATGATTTCTTTTTTCTGCAAAATGGTGACCCATTTAGATGATGAGTCATAGCCCTTTCTGGTTCGTCAGCCCACTTAGCTAAGATACCTTTTATTAACATATATGGTCATTACTCACTACTATCATAATAAATCAAAAACAACATAACAACCTGATTGAGCAGTTAATTTTGAAATGGGTGATACAATTCCTTGTCTAAAGCAAAATCCTTTATGTATGCTGAAAAAGGCAGGGAAATTATTGCAAATTTATCGGAATCAATACAAATGAGCACAAATCTCGACGGAGAATATATTTATATTTTATTTTAAGCATGATAAACCATTTATTATACAATTTAGGGTTGATGATGAACTTTGCTTAAATCTCTCAACTAATACCACTAAATGGTAGATTAAGCTATGAACTTCTCAAATTTATCTTTGGATCAAATATTCTCTCTATAATTTTCATTAAATTGAACTTTCTCTCTTTAAGTTTAAACTCTCTTTAATGGGGTTTATGAGCACTTAATGAAGATAGTAAAAGGATGAAAAGAATATTGGGAAAGATCCTTCCAATTTGATTTTAGTCCATTTTGACTAAAAGCAAAGAGATTTGATGTTTTCTCATTAATACATTAAAATTCATAGTAATCTCAAACTTCCTTTATATTTTTTAATTAAAGCTAAGATGATTATAAAATAGTATATATTTTAAATACTCTCAACCATTTCACAATTAACGCTTAACCACCTATTACAATCGTTAGCACTTGAATCTGTGACTTCTAAGAATAATAATAATTTTTTTAATTACTGAATTAAGTTGGTTCGTACTTGCTTTATTTGGTTTTATAAATTAATAAGAAGTAACCAACCTAGATATTTGCAACCAAGTAAAGCCTTTTTTTCTCTCTCTCTAGTTAGGGATACGTAATGGGGGAGGTTCCACAAACTCCACGCTAATCAGAAGGAAGAAATGTATTCTTCAGCTCATGGTAGTGCAAAATATGCAGCAGCAGGGTTCCCATTCCCAACAGCCCCCATGAGCATGCCTCCTTCCCATGTCTCACCCTTCCGTGGATCATCAGCAAGTGCTGCCACAGCGTGGTCTACTGGCCTTTGCTGTCCCTGTGTTACCTTCGGACAAATTGCTGAGATTGTTAACAAAGGCTCTATCTGTAAGCTTCTGAAATACCCAATTTAAGACCATTTTTTTAAACATACAGAAACTGATTTGTGTGGGGGGAAAAATTGTGGTTGCAGCTTGTGCAGCAAGTGGTGGGGTTTATGGATTGCTGGCGCTTACAGGGTTATCATGCTTGTATTCATGTGTTTATAGGTCGAGGTTGAGAGGACAATATGACTTGGAAGAGGGTCCTTGTTCTGATTGCTTGGTTCATTCATTTCTGCTGCGAGACTTGCTCACTTTGTCAAGAATATAGAGAGCTCAAGAACTGTAGAATTGATATGGGGATCGGTAAGTTGGCTACGCTTTTTTTATTCTTTAATCTTTGGACCTTATTAAAGTGTTCCAAATTGATACGGTCAGAGATGGACCGAGGGGAGCGACTGAGGATAGTCACCCTTAAAATTAAAATTCTTATATATTTAAATACTTTTTTTATAGTTTTTATTCCGTTTTAAATCGATAGAATAATCTGATTAATACAGTATTTGATACTTGAACTCGATTATAATATTTTGATCAAATTAAGCGCATTTCATAAGAAATTAGTATTTAGTAGGACTAATTAGAATCTTGATTCCTCATTGTTTGTCATCCCTGAGTACAATTTGGTGATCAAGGTTGGCGGAAACGTGGATCGACAAGGCAGAGGGATTCCAGTCGCTCCTGTCGTAGGACGTATGGCAAGATGATTATTATACTAGGACCTCCCCCCAACAGTTTCAACTTATTGTTCTTTGTTTATCTGTCCTACTTTATGAACCATATTTTGTTCCGTTTTATGCTATTTGATTTATGCTGTTTTATTCTGAAAACTGTAAATATTTATTACAAATCTAGGAAAAACAGAAGAAGATGTAGTTAAAACAACACCACATCAATTATTAGAGGGGCTTCATGGTGCGAGTCATCATGGTCATAAACTCGTTCATGTCGATTAAACCATCCCCATCAACGTCCACACCTCTTATCATTTTACGACAAGCTTCCAAGCTACATCTCTCCCCCATCTTCTTCAACACCGCCATTAATTCTTCTGCACTTATCTTCCCATCTCCATCTAAATCATACACTTGAAACGCGCTTCGGATGTCCCTGCCGTTGATCCCTTCTCCCGTGCTATGTATCATCTGAGTGAACTCCTTGTAGTCGATGAAGCCGTCCCCGTCGGCGTCGATGGCGGTGAATGCTTTCGCCATATCTCTTTCCGCAACTCCTTTCCCCATCACCCTCATAGCTGATTTGTACTCGTCTTTCGAGATTTTGCCATCTTTGTTGGCGTCGAATTTGTCGAATATCCACTTCATTTCCTCCATATTCGGCTGGAAACACCTCGATGACACGTTCGAGCTTTGCCTCTCCCTGTTGATGCTCGAGTTACTCGGTTTTCTTGACAAGTTCCTCGGAAGCACACCGTAATTGAACTCGATGAAACTCAACTTCGACATTTCCTATGATGTTTCAGTAAGGAATTGTGAAACTGTTTCTGATATGGTCTTCTACGTCGGGTGCCTCTCTTTAAATATAACCTTACTTTCCCAACAGGGAAGCAAGTTGGAAGATGAAGTAGAATATCACTTTTAATTGAATTTGTGGGTTTAAACAAATAAAAAGGGAGTGTACCGGTTTTGGTTTAATATTCTTATTCCAAAACGTTCACATCCATCCTTACAATTTGATATTCCACGCGGAGAATCATTGACATTACCACGCAGGATTCCAATTGGACTCTAAAACTTGAAATTCCAGATTTTTAAGTAGGCGTTGAAGAATCTAGTAGAGGCGGTGATAGATGCAATATCGGCAGCTGTGAATATTAGGTACAGAGAAGGAATCTAAGGGCACTTTATTCGTCCATTGGTTATATACTTAGAAAAGAAAAAGGTGACTTCCAGGAAACAAAGGACTTCGTAGTGGTACACGGCATTCTATATGCTTTATATTTTTTATTTTTTCTATGTATTTTCTATTGAAAATCTACTTTGTCTCCTGAAATTTTAATAGTTCAAGTTCACCCCAAGTAAAATCATGCATCCGTTCATGCGTCGAAGTGTATAAAAATGACAAATAGTGGACCAGATATGTCAGATAGAGAATATAACAAAATTAACCCAATAACTATCTACTTTTAACATATTTTCAGTTCAGTTCATAGCTTCATCCAAAACATATTGTAAGCAAGAGCTCTAAACCCTCCCAATTCACCATCAAAATGGAGACTTCTAGTACCCATATGTTGTTCTCTTCATCATCCTCATGAATTCATCCATATTTACCTCACCATCTTCTGCATTCATTCAATGGTCAATTGATATGCTTTGCTTGAAACTAGGTAGATGAACAAATTTGTTGTATTAAGATCGAAGAAGAAATGTCATTATTGCTTACATCTCGATCGGCTTCTTCAATCATGTCTTCGATCTCTTTCCCAGTTAAGTTTACGCTGAGCTCGTTGGCGATGCGTTCGATGTCTTGGGCATATATCTTCCCCTGAATTCAAAACAAGGAATCAAACAAGGAATCTAAAATAAAAATAAATGAAAGAAGATGTTCTACATTGTCATCTTGATCAATGATGTGAAATGCTTTCGTAAGCTCTTCTTTGGTGTCCCTTTCACCAATCTTGGTAGTCATCATATACATGAATTCATAAAAGTCAATTGCACCACTTCCATCTTTATCCACTTCTGCAATCATTTGATGGATTTTTTTTTTGGATAAGTAAAATTTTATTTATCCAAGTAAGAGTCAATACAAAGAACCCAGTCAAGGATCAAAGAAAGCTATGTACAACAAAAGAATGTTAACCTATACCCCAGTTGTTACAAAGTAGAGAGTTAACATGATCCATTCTATTGAGGTCTCTATTGCTAAGTTGAGCACCTACAATGTCTTTAATGGAGCTTAACAATTCTTCAATAGTTCTTGCTCTTCCTTGAAAGATCCTGCGATTTCTTTCCTCCCATATAGTGTAGATGAAGGAACACCAAGCAATCTTCAATATGGAAGTTAGAAGGGATTTACCTTTCCAAGAAGAAGAAGCCCATGAAAGCATTTCATCCCATGACATATGCAGCTTTGATAGGTGATTGAGAGTTAAGATAGCTTTCCATAAGCTGGTTGCTGTTGAACAATTATCAAATAAATGGCTTCTGGATTCATTAGAATCAGTACAAAGAACACAAGAGACCGTAGTGGTAATTCCCATACGAGAGAGTCTGGCTCTAGTTGGAAGTATGTCAATGATAGTCATCCAAGAAATAATGCTTAGTTTAGGAATGTGAAGGGGAAACCATATAAGCTTGTGCCATGGGACCTTAGTATGTTTAATTCTTATCTCCTCCTAAATGCGTTTAGTAGTCAGTGCACCTGCATCAAGAATAAGGATTGCCTCTGCTTTTAATTTTAAGTCTTTTAAAGCTCCAACTAGTAGTGTTAATTTCAGTCATAACTAGTCTTTGTCTTTTATAACATAGTTGTAGGTCCAAGCTATCCATAAAGAACCTTCACCAGTAATAAGGTTTCTAATGAGCTGAATCATAGTGGCTTTGTTCCAAGATTTGAGGTCCTTTAATCCCAGACCACCTTTAGACTTAGGAAAACAGATCCTCTCCCAGCTGACTCTTGCACCAGAAGCAGCAGATTCGGAACCCTTCCAAAGAAAGCGAGAGCATAAATGATTAATATTATTAATGACAGCCTGAGGGAGTAGAAATTTCCTACACCAGAAATTTGCAGTGTTAAGAAGGATTGTTTTAATCAGTTCAAGTCTTCCTACGTAACTTAGATGTTTCCCAGACCACTGGTGAATTCTGGATTTAATTTTGTCAATGAGGCCAGAGCAGTCTTTAACATTAAGCTTTCTAGTGACAAGAGGTATACTAAGATACCGAACAGGGAGAAGACCATGAGAAAAACCAGTACAAAGCTTGATAATCTCGATAGTTCTATTAGGAATACTAGCAGTAAACAGTTCGCATTTTGCTGCATTAATTTTGAGTCCAGACATGTCATAAAACTTTTCAAGCACTGAAATCACACCAGTCATAGATTCAAGATTTCCTTTACAAAAAATAAGCAGGTCATCAGCAAAAGAGAGATGAGTGAGACCAAGTTTTTTACATTTTGGATGAAACCCAAGCACACCTCTTATGGCAGCAATATTAAGAAGATTAGAGAGGATGTTCATATCAAGGACAAATAAGATAGGGGATAGAGGGTCTCCTTGTCTTATGCCTCTTTCTCCTTTGAAATAAACAATCAAAGTGCCATTAAAAGAAATAGAATATCTTGCTTCAGAGAAACAAGTTTCTATCCAATTAATAAACTTAGTTGGCAGCTCAATAGCCTTGAGAATAGAAGATATGAATCCCCAATGGAGTGAATCAAAAGCCTTGTGAAGGTCTATCTTAATAGCACATCTAGGGGATAAAGAATTCCTCCCATAACCTTTAACAAGTTCTTGGGCAAGAAGGGTATTATCAATAATGGATCTACCTTTGACAAAGGCAGATTGGTTGGGAGTAATTATATCAGCCATCAGAATAGAGAGTCTCTTCACAATGATTTTAGTGATAGCTTTATAAACCACTTGTCGTAACCGATTTTCGCCCGGGCACAAATTTTTTACTTGGTGAGAAAAGTGATATGAATAAATGGTTTTTAAAATATTTTGGGAGTCGCCATCAACCTTTTTGGGTCAGGTAGGTCGAATACCTAAAAATTATCTTTTAAAAGAGTTTTTAAGAAAACATCATTTAAAAGATAAACTGATCTGCGTTTTAACCAAAAATTCGTTCTTTTTAATAATAAAAAGGGATTTGTGGTCGGTTACGTTTAGAGAAGGATTAGCACCCCTACAACGCCCAAAATTGGTACTTTATTAATTATAAATTGTCTCTAGTATTAGAAATTTAAAAATTCAAATATATTTAATTTATAATTATGTTATTTCAAATTTTATTACTATAATTTTTAAGAAAATATATTAATTTAAATAAATTTATAAAAATATTTATTTATTTAGAAATATCAGAAAATGACTTCTAGGTTCCTTAAGACAGCTCTTTTCTTCGATATTAAAAAATAAAAATAAATATTAAAATTTAAATAATTTAAATAAAACTAAATTATAATTTTTATAATGTTTAATTATTTAAAATACCAGAATAGGACATCCAGTTGTTTTAAGACTGTCCTTTTCTTTGATATTGAAAATAAATAAACATTATTATTTAAAAGAATATAGGTATATATTTATATGAATAAGATAATAATAATAAAATAATTATGAAAATAATAATTTAAACATATAAAATTAAAATATAAATAAACAATGAGTAAAATAAATAAAATTAAAATTAAATATAAAAAGTAATAAAACATATAATTAAAATTAGTGACTAAATTATGACATATCAAGATTAAATGCTTTAGTTTGAAATATTATGAAAACTAAGTGTTACTAATGTAATTAATCCTTAATTAATTAATTAATTAGAGGTCAAAATGAAAGTTATTAAAGTTATAAGGAATAAATACGGTATTTACCCTAAATATATATAAGTATACAGGCTAGGACTAAATTATAAACTAAATAAAATCGAAAGACCGAATTAAAAGGTTTAAGATTTATTTTCAGTGATCAAAATGAAAAGTTACAAAACTGTGGTGGCAGCAGGTATAGTTTACCCACGCGAGAAATTACAAATATACCCTCCTCAAAACGACGTCGTTTGGGGAGGGGTTTAAAATCCCCAAAAGGTCGGCCCTTAAGGGCCAGCTTCTCATTTTCTCTCTTCTGGTTCTCTCTCTAACGAGAGAACCAGAATTCTCTGCCTTCTCTCTAGCTTCCCTCATCGGAGGGAAGCCAGTCCCGGCCGGCCACCGTATTCCGGCTCCGATCGCCGTCGCCGGTCACCGTGAACGGTGGCCGGAATTCGAGAAATCACACAAAAATATCCTTTTTTTGATCCTAAGACCAGATATGGCCTTCTTTTTACCTAAACATACCTAGATCGTCTTAGATCTAAAAAAACCCGAAGGTTTTTTTACCTTCGATTTAGTGACGATTCCGGCGACGTTTGATTTCCAATGATGAGCAGAACCTCGAAGGTGAGTTCTTCTTTTTCTCTGCTTTTTCTTCGTTTTGGTTTTGCTGCTGGTTGTGGTTGTTGCTTGTTTTTTTTTTGTTGACTCTTGCTCTCTCTGGTCTGTTGGTTGATGTCTCCGTTCTTTGCTTGTTGTGTATCTCTCTCTATGTCCTTTATTTTGCAGGTAACGGTGGCTTTTATAGTCACCACGGCTCTCCTCTCGGACTGGTTAAAGAGTGGAAGCTTCAGTGAGTCACCAAGCTATGGTGGTGACTCACCCCTAGAGCAGCGACGTGGGTGGCTTCGTGGTGCTTCTGGAGGCTTCTTCGAGGCGTGGCATCATGGCAACGGCAGGCTTAGACATCTGGAAGTGGAGGCGTCGGCAGTGTAGACGTGGGGCGACTGGAACTCACTGGAAGCGGCGGCTGGGAGCTAGGGTTTGGAAACCCTAGTTAAAACCCTAAATTGGTTTAAGATTTCCTTTTAGGTTTGGGCCGATTCTGGTTGGGCCTTTGATTTGGGCTTGTAATTAATAATAATAAATAATAATAATAATAATATTTATAATAATAATAATAATAACAAAATGAGAAAAAAATTAGTGTTTACACCACTTAACAGCAGAAAATTGGTCTATAATCAGTAACCTTGCTAGGATTAGTGATCTTAGGAACCAAGGTTATAATGATGGATTTGCTGGTGTGTGTGCAGCACATTTTTTTTAGGGAAAAAAACAAGGATTCTGGAAAAGTAAACCTTGTATGCTATACATATACATATATACATGTACAATCCAGGATATTTGAAAAATTACCTCCTCTGTCATCTCACGTGTTTGCAAAGTCAGTAAGCCATAGTTAAAACCCCGAAATTTTCACATTTAATCCCACCTTAACTACCAAAAGGCTGAATTCCTTTCAAATTTGCAAGGATCAGAAAGATTCTGATAACCTGATCTTTTATAATAAAAATAAAAAGAAAATAACAATTGCTAATAATTAGACGTAAATAACTTGAACTTAGGGCTAACGTACCATTCTTAATTCAGATGAGATGGAAACTCGTTCAAGAAAAGCAACCAAAGAGTGCAAGAAATTTAGAGAAAACAAGATGTAACTGAAAATTAACAAAATAGAAATACGGATTTTTACATATTTGGCATTTGATTTGAATCCGATTTTAATTGCAAATAAATTCATCTTCATGATATTGTATTTACTATAAATAAGCTATAATTACACTTTTTTTGATTAAGTTAAGATAATTATAAAATAATATATATCTTAAATATTTGTAATCATTTAATAATAACACTCAATTAAATTACTAATGTTTACATTTAATCACAATTACAAAATTTCATTTGTTAAAAGTGATGACACTGTCTAAATGGGAAAATCAATTCCATAAATATATAATATAAAGTAACATTAAGCAAAGTTGAAGGACCCATGCCTTTGATTTTTAATCCCAAAATTGCTGACTAATTCACCCGCCTAACCTTTGAAATATACAAATCCATGTATATTTTATTTATTTATTTTGTTCCTATTTTTTTTTAAAAGAAAGGTACTAATTTTTTTCCTAAATATAATTTTGGAGTGTTGATGGTGGGGTCAGTTGCAAACTTTGCCGCTTTTCATCACCATAGACACGTGGTTAAAATCCACAGTCTTCATCTCTTTTGCGTGTGGGCCACCGTACACGATTTTCTCCTCGAGTGCCCGCTTCTTCCCCGAGCTTTTCAACCATACCCCAAACAGTTTCAAACTCCCGTTTCCTTCTTCGCCGTCGTCGTTTTCGTCATCGTCACCGTAGCAGCGGCCAGGAACATCGGCATCATGGGTGGACCCAGAGCTTCCTTTCCCAATGATGCGATTGATCTGATCGGGCCCTACCTTCACGCATTCAGTTAAAAACCCAACCAGCTCGTCGCACTGCTTCTTGGCCTGCGCCAGTTCCGAGCTCAGCATCTCGTTATCCTTCTTAAGTTTCTCGTTCTCGTCTGATAAGTCGGCGAATTCGATTTTGGTCGCCGGCTTCGTTTCCGCCGATCCGGAATTCTTTGAATCCGGTAACGTCGACGTGGAGGTGGACCCTAGCTCCTCACCAGAATTAGTTGGTGGAGAAGAAGGTCCCGCATCAGATGGCTTTCCGTTCGCCGGCGAATTTGTGATCGTCTTGCGACGACGGATATCTGACAAGAGCTCTTTTTGGCCCCGCTTGAAGTGCTCGTTGGCAAATTCCCATTTGTCCGGAACAACCTTTCGAAACCCCTGCAATAAAACGGTGAATTCAATCATTTTATTTCTCACAGCCCGTAATCACAACCCCTCACCTAATATCTGTAATTCCTCTCATTAGTTCGCCTATCCCCGTCGTAATCAATCTTTAATTAATTTTTAAAACAAACAAACAGAAAAATCTTTTTCCTCAACCTTGGAAGGAAAAAGATTAGCATATAATTGATTCATACATGAATACAATTTTCCCGTATCTGATCTAGGTTTAGAATACTTCAGAACACGAACAACTTACGTAAGTGTTGAGCTGACGGACGAAGCTGGAAAAGTTATTGTGCTTGAAATATTTGGGAAGCAAATCCCTTGCAAAATCAGCAGTTTTCCAAACGACGAAAGACGTGCCGTTTTCATTCCACGAAATCACATCGTCGGTGATCTGATCATCCACCAGCTGGTACGTTTTCATCAAGAACGGAGCCGGAACTGACCTTAGCTCCATCTTTTCCGATTGACCAAGCCCCCTCTCAAAATATAACGCAAGCACGAAAAAAAATATTTTAACAAATAACTATGATTACAAGAGAAAAATGACTACAAAATATAACGTGATGGTTCAGGCAGAACAACTGAAGAGAAGGAGAGCGGTCAAGAATTCCCAACCCCAGCAATAAAACCCAGAGAGAAAGAATCGAGAGTGAACAAGGCTGTCGCAGCGTTTGCTCGTATCAGTTTCCATTAGTTAACGACGCTAAACAATATCATAACTCTACGTTATTATATTTACTGGTAAAATCACAAGAAGAAGAAGAAAACAGAGACTTGGATTCTATCTCTACTTTGGCGGATTGTTGTTGGTGGGTTGTTTATAAAGAGAGGCGATGAAAGGATCTAGAAGATTTAGATGGGAGAGAGAGAGGAGCAGACGGCTTTATAGGCTTTATTTATAAAAGGAAAACCCATTACTATAAAGCCCGATGGACAGAGTCATTGTTTGAGAGAGTGTAATGATAAGGTGTGACACGCGTTGTTATGATGTAAAAATAAATAATTTTAATAAAATAAAATAAATAAGAATAAATAGAATAGTGAGAGTAAGTATTGATTGAGGTTAAGAGTTTGACAATTTCCTATTTTTTATTTGACTTCAGGTATGATTTGAAAAATAAATTAGAGGGGATTTTATAGAATTAAAACGAAATAATAAAATTAATTGAAATAAAATAAAATAAAAATTAATTTAATTGGTAAAAAATTAACCTTGGGCTAAAGCTTTTGCCTCTATTTAAATAGATCCTTAAATTGGATTTTACCTTCGACTCATATCGGTTACAATTTGTAAGGCTCAACTCCTATAACTTATTTCTCTCTCAAATGAATCAAGAATCTAAAATCAATTTTCAGATATAAACTCTTTGTGAGTTTATAGCGTAGAGTTTATATCGACAATCACTTATTAATTCAAAACATTTAAATTCTAGATCTCAATTGAGAATCTAACACGATTTAAGTTTCTCTTAGCGGACCGCTGCTAAGTGTGTTCATAGAAAGTCGAATGTGCCACAGGCCGATCCTTCCTCCCAACTATTAATCGAAACCAAAATTTAATTTTGACTTGCATTTTTTGAAACGAAATCGCCTTGATTATAAAAGGATGGTCGATTACCGATCATTGATTTTCGAAAACTAAAAATGTAACCTTTAAGGGTATGAAGTGTTTTTCGATTATCACAACTTAGAATCGAGTCATTACTTTAGCCCTTTGCTATAGAAATCTTAACTAAGCATGATAGAAACCATACTAAACTGTTTTTTAAACGGTTGACACCTAAAAATATATTAGATAAAACTTTAGACACTTAATTTTTTTTAAAAAAACTTTAAATACTAAAATATTTTTTAAAACATTCTTTAATCACTATTTTTTATATTAAGCTAACCATTACCCATAAGATCAGATGTAATTATTACAACTTGTAATCATAAAGTGTCGGACACAGCTTTCTCTGGAGACAGATGTTTGAAATCTATTCACAAATCATTTTGACTTTCTTATCCACTGCTTTTGTCAAACTTGGACTAATATGGTAGAAATATTTTAAAGATTAGACCACGGATTTTTTTTTTGTCCTTCGATTTTAAGATTTAATTTTGATTAATTTATATTAATTCGAATTATATATAGTTTTAATAGGTGAATCTATCGGTGATTTTTTTACATTTATAACGATTCAAACATAAATTATTACTTGAACAATACAAAATACTTATCACTTAAATCAATCTCGTTAATTAGACCACATATATATATATATATAAGTATGTGTTTTATGATTTAATAAAGGATGTATTAAATTTAAAAAATTAATTTTATACATAATCTTAAAATGGAATAAATATTTTTTAATTATATTTTAAAAATCCAAAACTTAAATAAACAGGTCGTTTGTCTCGATATTAAGATTGTTTGTAAGATTATTTTGTTGTGTATTAAATAATGATAGGATGGAAGTGTTGTGTGTGTGTGTTTTTTTAATGATATTTTGAGTTTGAGTAATTTATATTTTTAAGGTGTATAAAATATTAATGATTAAAAATAATTTCGAATATATATTATTAAATTCAAACTATTCACAAAAATAATGATACTTTACTTTTTTAAAATAATAATAATGATATTTGAATAAAATATGCGAACAACTTAGTTTTGTTATTGTATACGGATAGATATTAAAGTTACACGACTTTTTATTAAATTATAATATTATACATAAATCTGATAATTTGGTGTATATTCGGTATCTTTCGATATTGAAAAATTTTACTGTGTATCGTAACGCTAGTTGGGATCGGCTATTTTTTACATTTTTATACCGGAAACTTTACAAGGTTACAATATTCGAAATGGGTCTAAAAGACTATGTTTTCGGTTGTCTAATCTTGCTATAGTCTAGGGCAGGAAAGTAATTTTTTAACTTTATTTTTTAGTAAATTTATAAATTTATTTATCTTTTTTTTTTAAATTTGTATTTATTATATTATTTTGGATGACGACATAAAATTATCGAGACCAAGTTGCCGGGTGAAAATAAGAAAATTGTACAAATGGGGATTGATATTGTCGGTCGATATATGGTAAATTACCAAATTTTATATTTTTATACTAATTTTTATATTTTTTATTTATACTAACTTTTATAAAATTACTGTCGGAACAGTACTTAAGTTTTTTGGGGCTATGACAGGGAGTGATCCAACTTAATTTTGAAAAATGTTGGGTTTTTAAATAGATGCATAAACAAACAAATTTGGAGTCGCCATTGATCTTTGGGTTAGGTAGGTCAAATACCTAAAAATGTATTTTAAAATAATTTTAAGAAAAATGATTTTAAAAGATAAAAAGTGATATGCGTTTAACCAGAAATTCGTTTTGAAAAGGGATCGGGAGTCGATTACGCATGGGGAAGGATTAGCACCCCTACAACGCCCAAAATCGGTACCTAAACGATTATACGTCATCTAAATATTGAAATTGGAAATTTTGAATATACATTTAAATTATTTTCCTATTTTATAAGAATTAAAGGGGGGTATTATCTTGTACGAATAATTCTCGAAAATACCCTTCTTATTAATTAAGGGGCATTTCCATGGATTCTCCATACGAAATAATATTACCCTAATTTTTAATGAATTACATACATTAAATAAATATATATAAAAAAGCTCATTGAGATGTAAAAAAAGAAAATTTTTATTGTTTTGTATAAACAATTCTAGGAAACGAACTCCTTGTTAGTTAAGGTATACTTCCATAAACTCCTTGTACGACATCTTATCTCAATATAATATGCCTTTACAATAAAGAAAAACCAAAATGCCATAAATATCAGGAAACTTAAATGCGAGTAACAGGAAATTAATCGATTATGAAAATGAGTAACCAGAGTAAAAGGATAGTAACTTTAAGGGTTAAGTTGTAAAATCAACAAAACAACATGGCTATAAACAAAAATATAATATAATCCGAACATTGGAATCACAATAAAACCAACATTAACATTAAGGACCAACATAGAAGTTATTAAAATAGGGTACTCAAATTGAAACAAGCATAAAAATAAAGTGACAAGTAGAAATGGGACTAAATTAATGATTCGTCAAAATATAGCATGCAATTTGAGAATTTAAACAGTGACCTCAGTGCAAATACATGTTGAAATTAAGAGGGTCGAAGTATAATTATCCCAAATTAATAAACCTAAAATAAACTACTAATAGAAATATGCAAAATCGCGAAATCAGGACATCACAATTAAACTAACGACGAAATAGTCCCAACGAGTGATTAAAATGTAAATTCACGACAATGTTAGAGGGACACGCGCGAGAATAACCCCTAGATCTATGGTATATAAACCAACTTTTTTCCAATTTGGGTTAAACTTTACCCTAAAAATTTTGTTTGCTCATTTTCTTTGTGAGAGTTCTTAAACTCTATCCCTCGGTCGCCTCCTTCAAGGCTAGAGAGCTTCTCACCGACTTCGTCGCTCGCTTACCGGTAGTTTTCTCCTCACGGCCACCACCTACGGTGTCCAAAAAGAACCAAACTAACCTAAAAGAGAAACTCAAACAACCCCATTTCTCAAAGAAAGAAAATTGAAACCCAAAAGAAACCCATGCTCACCCCTAACTCCGGCCTCTACTAGTGGTAGTTTGGTGTCCTAAACCAAGCCAAAAATGATCCTAAACCTTCGGTCCACCTTTCCAAACCCAAATTCAGGACTAAAACCCATAAACATACCCACTAAAGACCCAAAAACGACCTTGACGTTCCGGCTTCTTGACCTCTGGTGACTCAAGACGGCGAGGACCCTTCGGCAAGGAATCTCGAGTACTCTCTAAGGTAAACCCTAACCCCTTTTAGATGTTACTCTCTAAGGTAACACCTAAAATGTTAACCTATTTTTTTAACATTTTAGGCGTTACTTAATATGTTGATAATATTGATAACAAATTAAGTAATTAACCTATTTTGTTATCGTCGGATTTCTAAGGCCCCATCAGCTTTAATAATACGCTACCTATTACGTTACATAAGAGCTACCTAATATGTTATTATGTTTTATAATGTTTCCAGTAATTAACCGGTTATGTTATCGTCGGATTTCTAAGGCTCCATCAGCTTAAACTTTGGTAACATTTTAGGAGTTACCTAATATGTTGATAATACTAATAACAAATTAAGTAAGTAACGTATTTTGTTATTGTCGGATTTCTAAGCCCCCATCAGCTTAATAATGCGCTACCTATTATGTTACATAAGCGCTACCTAATATGTTATTATGCTTGATAATGTTTCCAGTAATTAACCGGTTATGTTATCGTCGGATTTCTAAGGCTCTATCAGCTTAAACTTTTGTAACATTTTAGGCGTTACCTAATATGTTGATAATACTAATAACAAATTAAGTAATTAACATATTTTGTTATCGTCGGATTTTCAAAACCCCATCAGCTTTAAAAATGTGCTACCTATTACGTTATATAAGCGCTACCTAATATGTTATTATGTTTGATAATGTTTCCAGTAATTAACTGGTTATGTTATCGTCTACATTTTTTTAGCCAATTTTACATATGACGATAACATAACCGATTATTACTATTTTTTACCAACTCAAATAATATTTCCAGTTAAATCATATAACATTTCCGATATCAATTTTAACCGGTCACTTGTTTAACCAATCACATCATTTTTTAGCAGTATTTTAATCATATCACAGTAGAAATTCCCTGTTTTCGGCTACTCCACACAATGGGATAAAAATAGAGGCGTTGTTCCTATAAATTAGTCTTTGTGGACCAACGGATGACTGCGAAATATACAAAATCTGCTTTTTCTTTTGGTTTCTCATCCACTCACTCGCATATATATATTTTTCACTTGATCTAATAAATGTGGGGGAAGCAGACCATCTTAATGGGAACTTAAAACTATGTTTAGCCGTGTACACGTTTTTTAACCATTACATAAAACATTACAACACTATATCGTACTTTAGTGATTAAAAGAATTATTGTTCTTCCTAAAAATTACGAGTTCAAATACCAACGGATGCAACAGATTGATTGAATATTTATTGTCAAATAATTAAAAATATTTAGAATAGATACTACTTTATAATCATATTAACTTAATAAAAAAAATACGACATAAATGTCGAGCATTTTTTTGTAGAAAAATTTCCCCAACATCCAGCGTGAAAGAAAGACGAATAGAAGAAATGATCTCCCCACGTGCATGGCGGGCGCCGTCCACGGGCCTTTAACTTATCCATTGAAATTAGTATTCCACTTACATCGTCTACTTGCTAATGCTATATACTAATCACAATATTTCTTGGTATTTGAATGGGCCAACATGTAATGAATCTCAGTAATTGACCCTAAAACCTTTGATGAATGAATGATAATATTAACATGAAGAGCATCGTCCTCACCGCCAGCTGTGCTTTACCGAAAAAGCAGGGACGAAACCAAGATTATAGTTTAAGGGACAGAGTATAATTAATAATAAAAATAAGAGAGGTAAAATCAAAATAAATCAAAACTTAAAGGTCTAGGTATACATTTTTCCCTATAAATTTTTAATAATAAAAATTTTAGGAGGCCCCTTGAATCTGTACATAGTTCTGTCACTGCAAACAGACAACCACCTGCACCCACTGCTTCAGCCTCGTCTTCACCATCTGCGGCGGATAACCTTCAACGATCATCATCAAACGATAAAATCAGAAGATCAATTCCTTCCAAGAGATGTAAGATAGCCTGAGCTGAAACTATTACTTGGTAGGCCAAAGATGGTGTGGGGGCTGCCAATAGGGGAGGAAATACTATCACAATCTGCAGAGCCGACTCAAAAATTTCCAGGCCATGAGTACAATTAAAAAACAGATCTATAAAACGGAAACATATTCTATTATTTTAATATTTTATTAATAAATTATAGAAATATATTATTTTTATTACTTTATTATGAAATTAAATTAAATATAACTGCACGAACCATTATTGAAAGGATTTGTGTACCGGCCTTGGAGGGCAAATGTTTTGTTTCGCCTCTTTGGTGGGGAGAATAAGAAGTTTAGTTTTGTTTAGTTGTTATTTATGTATATTATCTGTTCTTTAAATTTTAAAGTATTTAAAAAAATATTACCCATTTAAAAATGAAGAATATAAAAATAAAATTTTAAAATATTTTTTCAAATATTTATAATTTTAATAATTACATTAAAATTTGTTAGATTTTTTATTAGTATGGATAATTACAAGATAATATAGATTCGAAAAACTCTCAATCATTTAACAATAAACGCTTGAATATCCTAACAGACATCTTGCTCGAACCCGAAATCTCTAAAAATAACAATAATCACTTTAATCACTTTGTTCGTATAGTTACTGCCTTAAATAACAGTTAAACTACAAGTTTAAGTAAGACAAACAATTGACCTATCTGGTAATTCAGGGATTCAGCTCAGCACCTCTAGTACAAACATAAGGTGCTAGTGGCAAATCATGTAATTAACTTATTGTAGCAGTAACAGCATAACGTGACATATTCATGTGATGGTCATTTAAACTGATGATGCTATGAGCCGGAAAGCTGTGTCGGGGAAGATGAACTAGTCCTCGCCAGTTGAAGCTGAAGCTGATTTCCCCTCTGGTTTTGAGAAAACAGAGTAGTCATCCACACCCAAAGCCCTCTACCCATCAGCATTCCTTGTATGAAACTCTCCCAGCGCCGCCTCATCCGTCCAATAACTGTGATTGCCATTGCAATTACAGACGTCGAGCCTGACAAAATGAACAAACCTGAAAATGGTCCGGGTCCTATTCCTCGTTTTATGGTGCCACCAATTGTTGAACTCGAACAATCCGAAGAAGATAACATCTCTTCCTTCATTTGATCCAATTTTCCACTCACTCGTAACCGCAGCATGGCCTCTGCCATATCTGGAACAAACGGACAACCTCGTGGAAAAATCTGCGGTACAACAAAAGACAATGGTCAAAAGGCATCCCCTAAGGGGGTTGAAACTGAACAGAAATTGAAGAGAATCGTTCATAGTACAATTGAAGAACCGCGTAGATCACATTTTGGACCCCAAGCTCTGAAACCTTTGCAGTATTTTGCTCCGAAAACATCCCAATAAGGTGCCCAAAAGAATGCAACCTTTATATTTCCACTTGATAGAGCCTTTGCATAATCATCAATCGATGATGGAGCAATGTGCTTCATATTCTTTCTTTGGAACCCAACGAACTCCACTAAATACTCGGCCATAATCGAATCTTCCATATCACAACCCACAATAGCATTTGTTTTCTTAAGATTCTCTACATCTAAGAGAGACGACGACTCGGTCTCTGAGCTTGTTATCATGGAAGTAAAGCTTGCCGTATAGGTTGAAGAAACAACCAGGACTAGGATGAACCATGGGGCCAACACAAAATAAGTCAAGTTGTTCCTATGTGATTCTCCTGCAACACAGAATAAGTACGGGTAAAGCGATATCCATATAGAACATGCTCGAGAACAAGCTGAAATGAGCCACCATAGAGCATCTTACTATGCCCTCCATAGAGGAGAGTTGTGAAAGGGAACCAGAAGTTCGCTGCAATTTGTCTAAATGGTGAACCGCCAGATTCATGACCTGTTCTACATTAAACTAACCAAATAACAAAAGCATTAAAGACCGTCACTACTGCCAAAGTAAACCACATCTCGTTGGTGAAAGGGATCATGAATGAAAAAACTTGGTTCAATTCAGGGTTATCCTTCATCACAAGCACCGGGCCAAGTTCAAAATATGGGTATGGGAATTCTACCAGCTGCGACCGTTCTTTGGTAATTACTGCTAAGCCAATGGCTGCATCAAAAGTCTTCAATGCATACAAACGTTTTGAAAATTTTCGTCAGTCATCTCATGTTTGATAATAGCTACTTACTTTTACTAGATTCATGATTCAAAACTAACCTTGCGAGAAAGTTCCTTCAACAATTGATCATCAGAACCGTAAAAAGGAACCAGTTTATAGGTAAAATTGGTTGGCATAATTGAAGTAGCTTCTTTAAAATGTCAACCCAAAACCCTGTTATTTGTGTTTCCTCGGGGTTCTTCTCATCTTGAATTATGTTAAGAAATTGCCTGGGAACCGATCTCACCGGCACGGCAATGCTTAATTCGGTGTAATAGTTCATTGGCTTGGACGTCAAAAACGATAAAGTTGCAGCCATTTGAATGATCCCACCTGCATTTTGTGTTGGATTCAAGTTGAAAGTGACTATGTCTAAATCACTAATTCTATCGGACTCCTCGTAGACGATCTTTCCAGGCTTTAACCACCTGTAGTCTCCGATTAGACTAGCAATTTCACGAGCAATTTCATACATATGACGAGACATGTAACTCGTTGAGGATTCGTTTCCCATTGCTGCTTTATCTTTCGCAGGTAGCGCGCAGAGTATGTTTGCCTCGACTCTCCTGGTAAAGGCATCGACTTTGGCGGAGACTGCGGTTTCATAATTTGTGAGAGTACATAGAATCGGTAACCTGTGTGAAGTCAGATTGTTGATGACCACATAATTTTGATAATGATCTGCAATATTATGCACAGCTACTTTTTGGTGAGATTCATACATCAATTCTAACATGATTAAAGTAGGATGAAATGCTTTGAATCACTTTACCATCGAGATCTATGGGAGTAACTTTTCCATGCGAATGGTTGAATTTTAATCGGATATGGTGTGCATCCTTGACGGTGTTACAACGCATCATACATGAATAATCATCAACATCTTTCTGATCAGTTTCATCACAACTGCTGCAATTTGATGACAGTAATAGTAGCAAAACAAAAAGCTTGGCAAAGATGGTACTCGACATGCCTCTGATGAGTAGAAATCTTTTTATTTCTCCTTGAGAATTGAAACTCAATCTCCATTCGTTTGAGTTGCAGGAAAGGAAGAGCTAAAGTTTATCATTTTGGGTCAACGGTGGGAATTTCCTGGAGTCTTCCCATATCCCTTTCCACCGTGAAGTTATCTTTAGCAACTTACATTACTTTGAAACCTCCAAATTATTGTGGTAGGGCCATCTTGTGTGGAAAATTGAGCAATTTAAAGTTCCTCCATTAGCTGCAATTTCCCAGTTTCCCCTATATCAACAATGGCAGCGGGTGAATAATAAAGCCTAAGTAGAACCCTCTAGAGCTACCTGCAAGACGAAGCAAAAGAAGAAACACCATTTATCCACATTTTGGCTATTAAGCCCAGGTTGCTACCAAACTAAATTTTCCACGAAACCAAACAGCAGAGATCGATTTCGATAATCCTGCAAGTTTAGCCTTTTCTATTTTGCATGGATATATCTGGAAGTGGGTTCCCTAATAGGGACCATGGAGATTCCAGCAAAACCCAGAGAGCCACAAAATGAAGACAGCCCATAGCCTAGTAGCCATAATCCTTCTTGCAGACCATTTTTGTCTCCAATTTCGTATATAAATCCAAAGCCCAAGTGTTACAAAACTACCATAGCCCAAAGCTACTAGCCAGAATCTTTCTTGCGGTCCATTTCTGTCACCAATTTCGTATATAAATACATGGCTTTTTGGCTCATTAGACTATCCGGGTCTTTTACTTAGCCCATTAAAACACTTGGGTTCTTATTTTAGAGGATATGATAAATGTTACATAAGATTTTGAACTCGTCACGTCGAGGTAACGAATTTTAATAAAAATATTTTTTAAATTCATCACATCAAGTTGATGAGTTTTATTAAAATATAATTTTTATTAAAATTTATCACATCGAAGTAAAAAATTTGAATAAAAAAATATTTTTAATTTAACTCGTCATCTCGACGTGACGAGTTTCATGTACTTTAGAAAATGACGTAGATATCAAAATAAAGGTGTTTGTGTCCTATTTTGCAAAAAAAAAAAAAAAATTGGGCTGCCCTATTGGGGCTAGGACAGTAAATGAGGCGAGACAGATCGCGAGCTACTCGAGACCGACTCGATCAAATCTCGATAAATACTCGACTCAAGTTCTTAACAATTCGAAACGAGCTACTTAATACTCGACTCGAAAAGCTCGGGCAGCTCGAAAATGTAATATATTAAGATTTTATTTTTAAAAAATAAATTATTAATAATATTAACATTAATGTGTTGATTTTTTTAAATGCAGTATAAAGTTTTCATGTATTTAATATTCAGGTTCGAGTTTGAAGCTTCAATCAAGTTAGGTTTAAGATTTTTTTTCATTTCGAGTCTTTTTGAGCTTTTACGAGCTTTAGTTCATGAATTCGAGTTCGAGTCGAGCTTGAAAATTTCAAGTCCGCGAATTTTCGAGTCGAGTCGAGCTCAACAATACTCGAACTCGACTCGACTCGTTTATAGCCCTAATTGGGGGGAAACCTAAATACAGTGATTGCTTTGTTACATTTTAGAATCTCAAACTCAACATAAAAAAGATCCACTAATTCATTATGATGTATAAATATTTGGATTTAGATAAATTGATTTATAGAGTTATTTTTAAAAGTGATCCAGAATGTTTGAGAGGCAACGTCGACCATGTTGAAGGGGAAGCAACCCTTCATGGCCACTTCTTCAGAGAATGAGAAAATCAGGCCTTGCAATTGCCATGTTCAACCACTATGTTACCCTAACTTTGTAAATAAACTTCATCTAACCTAAGAATGTATTTCTTAATAAATAAATCGACTCTTGGGATTTGTACACGAGGAATAGCTCATCAACAACTTAATGAAACATATATAATAATGGCAAACGTCATTTCTAATAATGTATTATACCAAGATTTTATTACTGCCAACATTGTTAAAATACAATGCTTAATTCTTAATTTTAATAATAATAATAATAATAATTCAATTCTCATAATTACCGGCAAGCAGGGGGAAATGGTAACAATGTGATGAAGAGTGACAACTGAATACACGAATCAAACGACCTCGGAAATAAAAGAATTGATGTTGGTTTTTTTAAATCTCGGATTCAAACTCAAAAATTACTAGCAGTATAAGCATTTAGTGGCAAGTGATAAACCTAACTTTCTTCTTCTTTTTAATTAAATTGATTACTACATATTTAAATTTCAAAAGAAAATAATTAAACGTAATAAACCTAACTTTCTTCTTCTTTTTAATAATTTTGTCTTTATAACATGTCTTCTTCTATATTTTTGACACATCTTCTTCTGCATTTATGATACGTTTTCGGTTATTTGAATGTTATTTTCGTTTAGCTTTTTTTTCAGAGTTAAATTTAACATCGTCACGATTGATCAATATAACTTTTTATTTGTTATCATGATGATCTTCCCTGGTTTGGAACCTTAGATTGGATTGAGATAAGCGGTTTGCATTCGTAGATAGTATTTTCACATTGCTCAATTCTACTTTGCGATTTGTCAGTGACCTTTCAATAACTTTATCCTCTTTTGTGGTTCATTTGTTGATCTGATCAAATATGTTTGTATCTACCTTTTACCTGAGTATATTTGGTTAGGCTTTTTATCTTTTTTGTATAGTCCTCGTGATCTTAAGTAACTAGTTTTATCGTATTTAGGAAAATATATTTATTATGCATTTAATTTATGATTGTGGTCGTAAACTTTAAAGTAATTTAAATATTTTTATTTTTAATAAAATTAATAGTGAAAAAGAAAACTATAGGAGAATAACATTGATGATATTTCCAAACCAATAACAGAAATGCTTTACCTTCCTTGCTACATTTTCGTTCAAAAGTGTATTTCAGAAAGCTGAAACATAGTTGAATTGAAAAATAAATAAATAAATTTAGATTTTGAAAAATATGGAACTTATGAAGTGTAACACAAGTATAAATATATAAATAATAATTATATTTTATAATAATAAATATATACACATAATGTAAATATTTGAATTTAATTTTTTTAAAGTTGATAATAATCTTTTTCTAACTTAGATTACTGAATAGATGAGTTTGAATTTAAAATTTATTTAAACAATTTTTTGACAATAAATTTATTTAAATAATTATGAATGTCAATTAGGATTATATTATATTTTTTGGATTTTTTTATTAAGCTAAGGTCATTACAAAGTAGTATATGTTTTAAATACTCTTAACCATTTTGCAATGAATGCTAAATCACCTTGCTACAGCAGCTGGTGCTCGAACCTATGACCTCTAAGAACAACAACGATTCCTTTAACTACTGAGGTAAGTTGATTCGTGCATATTGAGTACCTAATTAATCCCTCCCCTTGCAACCCAAAAAAAAATAGTCCCTCTCCTATCTTCATATGTCTGCAGTTTTCTTAACACCTTCTCAAACATACCCTACAGGCTACAACACTGTTTACCCAAATATAAAAACATACAATTCAAACTTAATTTCATCCAAGTTCATACGTCAATAATATGATCATTTCAAGTTTGGTTATGATATTTTATTTTTCTTATTAGCTTATTTCAAGATTGGTTTTGCCAATGCAAGAGGAGACAGTTCGATGGGGATTTTATACCAAGATGATGATGG